CTACCGTGACCAGTGCCCGCTTTGTGATGAACTTACACTTTTATGACAAGAAAGCATTTGTATAAATGAATGCCTTTACTATAAAATCTTTTGCTTCTTTCTCTAAAGCTTTGGGGTAGGGCTGCTATAGTATTTGCAGGACCTGGAGGTGGATCCCAAAAGCAGTGCCCAGACTGTCCCACCCCATCCTCATTCCTCCTCACTCCATCCCACTCTGTGAGGGGCCTTGAGTTCATGGGTGTGGATATCCTCGGCCCACGTGTCCAAGCCTCTCTGCCCTCACTGCTTCAAACAGCCATAACTTAAAGAGCTCTAGGAGCTTGAGGTGTGGTCACCTGTGGTGTGGCCCACCCAGGGGAGGACAGGCAGATCAAAGGATGACACGGACTAAATTCTGAGCCTGATAGCTCAGCAGACTAAAGCAGCGGCTGGGTTTGATCCCTGGGCCTGCTGTGCCAGCCCTGCCTCTGGGACACGCTGAGATGGGGATTGAGACTGGGCATGGGGGCACATGCCTGTAATCCCAGCACATGGAAGGCTGTAACCAGGAGAATCACTATGAGTCTGATCTATGTAGTGAGACCCTGTAGATCCTGTAGACCCTGCCCTAAATACAGAAAAAAAAAAAAATCTGAGCCACTGGGTCCCTGGAATGTGGTTCAAGAAGCACACAGTGGTCTCTGAGTGTCTCTCCCTTTGCAAGAAGAAGTCCCATCTTCCTGTTCCCAAGCACGGGTCTGGTGTCTCCAGAGCTCCGGGTGCACTTCAGGGCCAGGCAGCCTTCTTTTTCTTTTTCTTTTTCCATAATTTTATTGAGAGACAAATAGCAATGAGACAGTTTCAAATCAAATTGGTAGGACAGTTTCAATAATTAACACATCGAATACTCTCTTCCTAGTGGTTAATTGCTGTACAAGATGCAGACATGATATCCTATTTACAAACACTATTAGAACAAATCACTCTATTCGTTAAGAGAATGTAACTATATATCTATCCTAACCACTTTGAATACACAGATACAAAATGGACATTCATCTGTATCCCCTTTTTTGTTTAGTTCCATCATTTGAATATTTTTTTTGCATTAAATACTGCTTTAATTAGGAATAGTTGCTATAACGAGACAAATCACATTATACATTTTCTTCAGTGAGCTTCAGTTCAACAAACTGAAGAGCACTCGAAATCAATCTGAGGATTTGAATCACAGCAAAATGGAGAGTTCTATGAAATCTGGGAGCTGCGCTACCAAAAACACAGACATACCTAATTCCACCTGGAAGCAAGCTTTTATTGAGGGGAATCAGACAACACTGTCGAAGACAGGACATGTTGAAGTCAGGAGCCACCTGGGAAACTGGCCAAGAAATAAAGTGGTACTAGTGGCAGGGAAGAAATAAAACTGTACTGGGTGACCAAATGCATATTTTACTAAATGGCTTTGAATTTAAAAAATTAAGTGCTTCATTGTGTTTTCTTAGAAATTCATCAAAAGATTAGAAGTCCTACACAATTTAGAGACACAAAGTGGATGCTGAGTGACTAGAGGTCACCCTGGGCATGGAATTTTAGAAAGTTAGTCCTTGGAGTAAATGGCACCATGGCTCTGGCAGCAGATACAAAAGAATGATGCTTGGAGACGAGGTAGGGACACTCTGTGGTCAGTCAGTGGACAGATGGGCGTCCCAGCAGGAGGCGGGATCTTTAAATCAATGTTTTATCTTCCACTGCTCATGCCTCTGTCTTCATAAATGGTAATTTCAGTAACTTGGTCTGTTAGAAGGAGGCCTTGGGGAGCGTATATCTTCTCATTTTGTTCTTGAATATACACTTGGAAACTTTCTTCAGCACCTTCTCATAATGGGTTTCCATACATAAGAAGATAGTGTATGCTGTTAAACATGCCAGACAGCCTTCGAGATAGGACTGGCTCCCGAGCTTTTCTGCTTCTGCATAAAGGTTATTTAGAGTCCATACAGTTTCTTCAAACTGCTATCAATCCGGTTCTCCAGCTCCGCAGGGAACTTGGTTTGGAACTGGCAGCGTGTGCCACTGCTGTAGTCTCGCTGAATGAACACCTTCCCGGACAACAGCGCCTGCTGCGGCCTCATGGCAAGGACAGGACTGGCCACGCCGGCTCCTCTGCCCTCCAGCAGCTATCGCTCCATCATTTGAATATTATAGGTGTGTTAACTCAGTAAAATATTCTAAAAGAGTCCAGTAGTCCATAATAGTATTGGGTCTTCCGCTTGACTGGCAGTGTCAGAAATTGTTGACCTGAATCCCCTACAGCTCAACATACCAGCGTGGCTTTACTTCCTATACTTCGTTTATAATTTTCTGCTGGATGGTTAAGACCAAGATAAAGCAAGACCTATGCAACAAGAGTTATAGCTTTTGGATCTGATAAGGTCAGTGAAATCCCCTCAGGATTTATCCTGAGATCCTGTACCTCAGATTGTAGAACCTTTGTCAGTGTCAGCCATGTGGATGAGTCACAGCCATTGCTTGGCCAATGTGCTTTCTGTGAAAGCCTGAGAGAATGTTTTCTCTCCATGTGACTCTCCTTAGGCACACTCTACATCATTGATCACTTTCTTCTTTGGCCCCATATTCTCCTTGATCAGAAAATTTGGGACACTACTGAGTTACATGACGTTACAGTACAAATTCTCATATGTCCTGAGTCTTAATTGACCTTGGAAGGCTAGGGCCAAAATGTGGGCTTTCCTTGCAGCCCTCCTTTTTCCCTAATTTTGGTCTGTAAACTTAGGTTGCTAACCTTCCAGAAGAGAAGCTTATTGTTATTACCATACAACCTAGGCTGTTAAGTTTAACCTCACTATCTGTCTGAATATCAAGCATCTTTATGCCTATTTTTAAAATATATTTTATTTTTTTAAATTTTTTCATCATATTCTGTAGGGACTTAAAAGTTCAACATATCAATACTTGATGAAAAATACCTATTCCATGCTATGCCTAAGATGCCTTCTATTTCTTTTGCATCTTTCTGTGGAGTAGGGAATTTCCCTATTCAGGTGCACACTAGCAGCAGCATCTGGAAATGTATTTGAAATGCAAATTCTTGGGTCCCGGATCAGCATTTGAGAACCTGAAGCTCTGTGGGTGCCTGTTAAATCAGAGTAGAGGATACTTCCCAGGGCTCAATGGGAAGAGAGAACTGAGGCATCCCAGGCGGTTCCTCTGAAGTACCTGCTCTTGGGGCTCAGTTACCTTCACGTGGATCATTCTTAAATTTATTTTTTCTTCTCTCTTTGGATACCCATTCCTTTTGCACAACTCACAGGTACTAAAGGTCAAAGGAGAACACGGGGGCCTGAGAAAGAGACAGATGGCTATCGTTCATTCTGGCTGTCAAATACCTATGCTTTGAAGGATTTGTCCTTTCAGCTTTTAGACAGCTCTATTCTGTCTCTCTGTCTCTCTTTCTCCCTCCCTCCCTCACTCTCCCTCTAAGTGCTTGGGTTTGAGTCCAGGGTCTTCTTGCACATATGAGGCAAATGCTCTACCACTAAGCTACAGCCCAATCCTCTGTGGGCTCTTTTTGAAGAATTAAGATTGTCAGATAGCAAACGATTTATCTTTAAGTAAATATGAAAGTGGTCAAAAAGGGTAGAGTGAAAATAGCTCTTGCAATTCATTTAAGGATCGACTTTGAGGCCTATCTGTGTCATGCTTTTGGATTTTGTGTCACTCTACTTAGTAGCTTTTTGAATGCGGGGGGGGGGGGGCTCCTCAAGTGCTGACTGACCTTTCAGTGCTAACACAAAGCTGACCCTGCAATCACTGTAGCGAACACTGCATAGTGCACTTTTTAAACTTCACATTCCTCCCACATCTCCACAGATCCGCCAGCATGATAAAGCCGTACCTGCGGAAGTTGCCTTTCTCATCCACTCGGGTCTAACCGGTGACCCTCACAGGTGCCCCCGAATGCCTCCAGCCTGTGAGCTCCACCCGGCCTCCGCTGCAGGCGCCGCCCACGCCTTTCCTTTCTGGGTTTCTCAAGCTGCTTGGTCGAGTTGTGTCCCGAGACCTTCTCTAATGGGTCCCTGTGCGCGTGTGGTGTTTCTGTGACCTCTGCACATCATAAATCTTCATCTGTGCCTGACTATGATTTCCTGGAGCACCTGCTCCCCCACTGAGAACAATGGCATTTGCCAAGACATTTACTGTTTTGATTTTTTAAAATGTATTTGGTACAGGGTCTCACTATGCAGCTCGGATTCCTAGGGATCCTCCTGTTTTCAGCCTCCCCAGTGCTGGGATTATAGGTGTGCTGGTCTCCTTGGCCGGCTCAGTGTCCCTGGGGTTGGGGCCAGTGCAGCATGTGGTGCTGGGGATCCAACCAACCCCTGTTCCTGCACTTGCCTAAGTAGGCCCTTAGTCCACTGAGCTATTTTGCTGGCCTTCATGTTTTGATTTTAACCACTGTCACTTTGTGTATTTACTGCTTTTAGTAAATTATAGTTGCTAAAGAAAGCCACTGCCAATGGTAACCAAGAGTACCACAGAACAGGCAGGTGAACAGAAAGTGGAACCTGTGTAGTACCAGCTGGTCTGAAGGTGAGAAGACTGACTGTCATTGGGGCTAAGTTAGGTAGGTACTTCAGAGCTTAAGTTTCACTTTAGTCAGGGGTACAGCACTTGCCCAGCATGCACAAGGCCTTGGGTTCCATTGCCGATACTAGAAAAAAAATTGTTTTCCAAACCCAGAAGAGAAAATTGCTCCCAGAGTGTGAGGGCCCCACTTGCCTGGCTCACAGGGCCTTCACATTTTACCCAGGGCTCACTGAGCACACTGAGCTGTTTTGGAAAAGGGAGGAGAGCTGTGCTGGTCTATGGAAGGAAGAATGTATGCAGGACCCGGGCAGGCACAGGACCTGGGCAGGCAGCTGAGGCTGGAGGCCCAAAGGCACCGCCCTCCCTGCCCACCCTGGGTGGGCACCAGTGAAACAACCATACTCACGGGCTGTGGTCATTTTAGTTCGGTTTAATTTGTCAGATAGTAAACATTTACAAACTTCTTATACAACAAAAGAAGTACATGCAAAGTTACAAATATAGAAAATATAAAGTACATGCATATTTCAAAGACCAGTTAGTGGTGTCCACTTTGGATTCTTATACAAAACTATTCAGTGCACATTGTAAGCCGAGGGCCACGCAAAAGGGTTCCCACATTTCAGGTTATTTAATGCCTTACAAAACGGCTAATGCATTAGACACTTTAGATGTTACTGCTCTAAACAAAACCTCTAAGTTTGCCATATGCAATATGTATTTTTTTATATATATATATATGTTTTACATAGAATACTCATGTATTGCAAGCCAATAACATTGCGGAATAGTAACAGATAATTGCTAGATGACAGTATTGAACAATTTAGTGAAGAGCTGACCTTAATTCAACAACAGTAATAGGATTTCTTCTTCCACTTGGAATGGATCATATTTCTGTCATCTGCAATTTATCTTTTAGATTGTCTCCTTGTTCTTTGATTTAAAAGCAAATTATAGGAACTAAGGACTCAACCTAACTCTGGTTTTGCACAACTCTGAGACATAAGTGCAGACACATGAGCATCCCTGGCTGCATGCTGACGCTCTAGTTGCATGATCCTCGAGGCCTGTGCTTTGCAACCGCAGCCTTCCCTGGAATTGTCTCTTGACTCCTCCCAAACAAGGCTAAAACCATTCCAGTTTCCAGTGAATGAACAAAGAAGCTCTGTCCTCAGTGTGCAGAAGGTAAGGGTGCCATGTGTGGATGCTTTACCCATCCCAAACAGGAGGTGGTTTTCAAGGGCAACGCTCCCATCTTCAGTCCCACAAACCTTCTGTCTGTGGCACTGTCACACTCACCTTCTGTGACTGTGTGCTCCGCTTAGAGGCTGAGGGCCGCACAATCATTTTTTTCTTGATTCGGTAACTGCTGTGCAGCCCCCCGGGCAAAGGTTCTCTGCAGACACAGGACACGCGCTCCGCAGGCTGAGCTTGCAGCCCAAGCAGGAAGGATTTCTATTCTTTGCTTTTCTGTTTTTTGAATGAGTACCATGTGGCTTTTTTTTTTTTTTTTTTTTAATTTGGCAGACATGCTGTCAGGTTTTCTTAAAGTGGAAGAGAAAAAATTTCCAAACTGCTGTAAAAATCACTGCTAAGCTGGGACATTCGTGTCCTGAGCTCCAGCTGCTTAAGGAGCCACAGAGGTTCAGGCGAAGGTGAAAACTGGGGTCTGCTTCTGCCTCGTCCTGGTGCATTAGACCAAAAATAAACCTACAGTCACTGCTGATTATTTGCTGTTATACTTGTACCAGCCTGCACTGGCCCATAAAGGGCTCCAAGGGGCCATGGATAAATGGCATCTGGGTCTACCCTGCAGTTTCCAGTGCCCTTTGGTGCCAAGGGTATTAGCCAATGGGGGACAAAGAGAGAAGCAAGAATGAGATGCTACCACTAAAAGGGCTGCCGCTGGATACCCCTCCCCCAACCTGGACCAAGATGAAGAGGATGGTGCCAACAGGAAGCCTTCCTCATCCCACTATCAGGAAAATGAGGAAGGAGATGAGGAGGATCACTGGTGGGGAGGAGAAGAGCACCACGCCGGCCCTTCCGTGGTAGTAGTAAGCCTGGGACTCCTTCTGGTACTGCGTGGTGCACATCTGCTGCAGCACACGCTCCATTATCTTCACGTCGGTCTCGGTGAAATTCTCCCCTTTGGTGGTGGTGGTGACTGTGTGCTGCTTGATTGTGATATTGACACAGTCCTGCACAAAGTTGTTCTGGTTGCTGTACTGATCCACAGGCTTGTAGTACACTTGGTTGGGGTAACGGTACATGTTCTCGCGGTAGTAGCGGTCCTCATAGTCATTGCCGAAGTGGATGAGGGGCCTGCTCATGGCGCTCCCCAGCATGTAGCCGCCCAGACCCCCTACCACTGCCCCGGCTGCCGCGGCACCTGCCACATGCTTCATGTTGGTTTTGGGCTTGCTGGGTTTGTTCCACTGACTGTAGGTGCCACCTCCATGACCCCAGCCACCACCATGGGGCTGTCCCCAGCCACCACCATGGGGCTGGCCCCACCCACCGCCATGGGGCTGGCCCCACCCACCACCATGGGGCTGGCCCCAAGTCCCCCCGCCGTGGGATGGGTAACGGCTGCCCCCACTGTTCCACCCTCCTCCTGGTTTTGGTCGCTTCTTGCAGAGGCCAGTGTCAATCCAAGTGGCCACAAAAAGAGCCAGCAGCCAGCAGCCAGCCTTCACCATGATGAGTGCACTGTGAAAGGAAGAAGAGGGCATCAGTGTCCTGCATATACTCTGAAACCACTTGACGCCTGCTGCATGATGGATGAACATGCAGCAACAGCCTCTTGGTCATACATTTCTCATAACCTGAGCCTTTCCTGGGCAGCACTGAGAAGAAAAGCGATCATAATCAAAGCGAAGCGTAACTAATTTTTTTTTTTTTTTTTTTTTTTTTTTAAGAGTAAGAAATATAAATTCAAAGACAGCTCCTACCTAAAAGAGACAGGATGGGACCAAGAAAAGTGGGTTGCCCTATACCTCCTTTTTGTTCTCCGAGGCAAATTTGAAATTTCTAGCTTCGTTTCCTAGAAGTTAGATAAGGCAGAATGCCAGCAACATTGTTCAGCAAAAACACAACCTCCAATTGGCTGACTCCATTTTGTGTAGGCGGAATTATTCCCCTTACCCGCTACACAGTGGCTTCTCAGAGAAGTGATTCTCAGGCATGTTTTTGAGGGAATCCCAGAAGTTGTACCTGTGGCTGGCAGGTTCTACAGGGCCCTGACCTTGTACACCAAGCGGATCCCTATAAGTACCGATATGGGTCTCATTTCCTGAACCAGAGCAGCCATAGGCAGGAGTTAGGTGCGGGGACACCCTGGGCTGGGAGCCGCAGCGTGGATACCAAGAGTGGCCCTTGCAACTCGGAGTCTCACGCTTGGGCAGGAAGCACTCCGGGAGGGTGGCGAGGATTAAGTAACTCTGAAATAGCTCATCTTTTTTTTTTCTGCAGGGACGTGGTGGGAAGGGAATAAGTCCCCCTTGTGTGTGGCTATGTCCTTGGGGTCAGGGGCAGTGACGCACCCAGCAGGATACATCAGATTTTGTTCATTGAAACAATCAATGTCCCTGAATTTATAAATGCCAGGAAGGGTTTCCTCAAAGAAATTCTCAACAATTTTACTAGAAAAAGGAAACATGCAGGATTTTGCAAGTTTACTTATAAACTCAATGTTCTCTCCGTGCGGATGGATGGAGCTGCTCAAAGCGTGCAGCACTTACAGTAGGTGCAGTCACATACCTGCTGGGTGAGTCTTAGTTCAGCACTTGCTCTTTTACAAGTGATTTCTCTCAGTTTTTGCTTAAGAGAAATCTTATGTAATAGAGCTAGCACAGTTTAGAAAACAACAAACAACCCAAACGTCACAATTTATGACTTGTTCTAGAATGTCCTTCATCAAATTACAGACCTCCTTTCAGAATAAAGACCTCATTTAACCTCAGTGTTTAGTGCCAAGAGCAGAGGCCACAGACTCAGAGTAGAAAGCCAGAACAGTGCCTACTGTCTACTACATCAAATATGCTCCAAAACATCACCGCATGTCACACAACCAAGAAAGGCATGTGTTGCCACACTGCAGTTAGCTTGGGGTCCAGCCATGGGGTCACTATCAAATTTTTAAGAATTAGAAAATCAGTTTCCATATCCTGTGTAGCTAGTGACTAAATTGGATAATATCTATAGGAAGAATTATCAAACAAATAAGTTCACATCTTGTCTCTGATTCTTACAACCTCACTGAAACCAGAAATGCTGTCTTGGTGGTCATTGGTAAAAATTCATTTGAGAATTACTAGTGAAATTATTCAGTTCTTAAATCCTAATTATTCACATAGGGTTTGGAAGGCTTTCGGCCCCCAATCCTGCTCCTGCACCTCAGTCCCCAGCCCCCTGCAGGCCTTTTTGTGTGACTGACATTTTCTGTGATCTCCATTTTCTTTTGGGGCCCAGCTCTCAGCCCATGCTGTTCACGCATCCTAGGGAACCCACTAGGGACTGTCCCCTTGGTGAACAGCTCCTGGTTCAAGGGTCTTTTACATCAGTCACTCTTCACTCCACTCAACCTCAGTGAGCCAATGCCAGCCAACACCCTGGAGACGTTCTTGAATTTTCCCCTCTGTCTCAGGAGCTTTATCTTGAATAAATGTGAGGGCCCTGGGCCTTTGGTGAGCTAAGCCTTCTCCTGCATTCTCCCTCAGCCTCCCTGCTTCCCACTAGCCTCCGCTCCCTACAGTACACTCAGTGTTCCTGAGACCCGCCCATGCCCGCCTACTGCCTCCACTCCACATGCTATCTGAGCGCCACCACTTCTGTGCCCAGTGCCTGTCCTCTGGGCCCTCCGCATTATGTGGCCTCTCCAGGCACTTGCAGAACCCAACTTTTTTTTTGTAACAGGGATTGAACTCAGGACCTTACACCTGACAGGCAGGCACTTAAGCCATTGAGCTATCTCCCTGGCCCAACTTCTTTTTTTTCTTCAACCTATTAGCTGGCCTTTGCAGAGGACAGTATTATAAATTTATAGTTATGGTTCCCTTTAGATATCATTATACTTGACTTTTAGCTTGCTTATTCATTATGCCTTACTATTGGTATTTTCAGTTTTTCATCCATTCAGGATTTATTTTGCATGTTTGTGAATCAAGCAAAATAATAAGCATATAGTAAATAAGATACTGAGTACCTGTGACTGCTCTGGAAAGAAACAAAACAGGAGTGGCAAGGGTGGGCGCACTCTCTTAGGGAAATGGGAGTGAAGACCTGTGAGTCACAGCAAGTCCAAAGGCCAGAGCTGGTGACATTCTTGCTGGTTCTGAGGAAAGGCTAGAGGTGGCGAGAGGAGGGCCGCGAGGCCAGGACTTCTTGTGGAGAGCACTAGTGGCCTCCGGCAGGCAGGCATCCCAACGGCCACACAGCATACGCCCGCCACTCCTGTGCCAACTCTATTAGTGCCCAGTGTCCCAGCTGCTGCATCATGTGCTGGCCTGACACTAAGGCAAGGGAGAGTCTGGTCTTGAGCTAAAGGCACTGGAGGTTGGGTTCTTGGGTTTTTTTCAGGAAGAGTATTGTGGAAAAGGAAAATGGACTCAAGACTCAAGTGTGTGTGTGTGTGTGTGTGTGTGTGTGTGTGTGTGTGTATGTGTGTGTGTGTGAGGCAGGAGGCAGGGAAACTAGTTACTAGGCTGGTACAGTGAGGGAGGTGGTGGGCTTGGCCAGGGATGATGTGTGGCCCGCAGGTGCCTCTGGGAGCTCAGGATCTGACTTGGAAGAGCTGAGCTGGCACCCACGTTTCTGGACTAGGCATCTGCCTGCTGCACACTACACAGAATGGGCAGCTGGCCTGGAGAGAGACGGAGAAGGCCTGGCTTTGGCAATGCTGGCAAACTGCATGTGGAAGCAGAGACAACAGCAGACTGTGAGCTCCATGGCCTGGAGCTGAGGAACAGCCACGAACTAGAGATCCCGCTTTGGGAGTTGTCCCCATAGAGACAACAGATGGCAAAGCCGGCCACAGAGCTGTTGCTGGCCAGGGAGCTACTGAAACCAAATATTAATAACAGGATAAACTGGATAACTGCAGAATACATCATTTCAAAACTAGTGGAAAACAAGAAAAGTATCATTTAATTATGAAGAGAATTGAAACAATAATTTCATTTAGAGGATCATTTCTAAAAAGGGACTCGATCAGGCCACTATCATTTGACAATTCATGAAACTGCTGGCACTACAGATTGGGTTTCTGAGTCACGGGCAGCGCTCTGACCTTACTCATCTCAGATGCTCCCTGAGAACAGGGCCTCGTCCTCTGGTACTGCTCAAGATCTTCCAGTAAGGTACTCAACCAAGGTCAATACCTATTTAGCACGAAGAATACTAAGAATTCTCTTAGAAGACTAACAGTGGAGGGAAACACCCCTAATTTGATAACTATACCACCAAAACAGCAAATGTAATAAAGAACTCTGAATGTATCCTTTAACAATCAGAACAGGCCACTGTTCCAGGGCTGAGGGGCCTGTCATGCCATATGTAAAGACAAGGAACTAGCAGATGGAAGACCCACAGGAGACTTGGGAGGCTGAAAAACAAGAGGATCACTATGAGTCCAATCTGTGTAGTAAGACCCTGTACTGAAAAAAAAAAAAAAGAACCACAGGGCAATAGCTTGTGCTGATATTATCTGTAATGGATATGACTATTCATATGAAAAGTCCAACAGAGTCAACAGCAGTAAAGAACCAATACTAAAGTTAAGCAGGGTTGTATATACAAAATCAGCCCACAGAAAAAAAACAGCACTCTCCCTGCACCAGTCATAATTGACTGAAGCAAGGAGGAGGGTGGGGGGGGGGCGGCAGCAGATATTTACAATAGCAAATACCCAGGCATTGACTTAGAAGAGAATTCTACATGGGAAAAGTTAAAACTTTAAGATACAGTACATACAAAGTGATCTGAAAAGATGGAAAGACATTCCATGCTCTTATTTTGTATATCTCACTGTTATAATACTATCAATTATAGCCAAATGGACTGATAATTTCAGTAAAATGCTGTTCAAAATTCCAGGCAGACTTTTTTGAGAAGTTTCATAAACTCACATGGAAAAGGAATGTCCATGAATAAAAAAATCGGTGCAAGAGGTCTGATCTTGGGCCAGGGAGATGGCTCAGTGGAATAAGCGCTTCCCTGGCAAGTGCAAGGGCCCGAGTTCAATCCCAGTTCCACACACACAAAAAAAGAGGTCTGATCTTGCTGGAAAGCTGGGGTAAAATAAAATTGTTCCTTAGCAGCACATGCAAAAGTAGACTAGCTGGGTGTGGCAGTTCACGCTTGTAACCCTAGCTGCTTGGCAGGCTGAGGCAGGAGGATCATGAGTTTGGATGGCTTAGTGAGATTCTGTTTCAAAATAAAATTGAAAAGGTCTTCAGAGGGCAGCTCAGTGAACTGAACGGGGCTCACTCTCTAGTACTGTGAAGAAGGAGGAGGAAGAGGAAGAGGAGGTGAGGGGAGAGGAGAGGAAGGAGGGGAAGAAAGGAGAGGAAGGAGAAAAAGAGGAATATGAAGAAAAAAGGAAGGAGGAGAAAGGGAGGAGGAAGAAGAAGAGGAAGAAGGAGGAGGAGGAGGAGGAGGAGGAGAGTAGATGATCATTGATCTAAATGCAAAAGGTAAAAGTATGGTGTTAGAGGGAGAAAACACAGGTGCAAGTCTTTGTAATGTGAAGGAGTGAGGAAAGGACTTTATAGACAAAAAGCACAATCCTAAAGGCAAACAATTGATGAGTCTCACTATATAAAAAGAACAAATTCTTTTTTAACATTTTGAGGAACACTATTAACAAAGTTAAAAGAAAGTGGATCCAGAAGTAAACAGTATTTGCAGACTTTAAAACCAACAGGGGATTCATTTATTTCTAGAATCTACAAGGAATTGTTGCAAGGCAGTAGGAGACAGTAATTCCATTGGATGGATGGCCAAAAGATATAAACTCATAATTTGCAACAGTGGGATGCTCAAAAAGATATAGAAAGATACTCAAAATCATTAAGAATCTGACAAATAAGACAAAAAAGATATATGACTTACATCAGGCTGGGAAAGAAAAAGAAGTTGAATGACAGCCGGAGAGCTGGGCTCTGGGCTTAGAAGGGGCTGTGTGGCTTTCAGAGCAGCACGGTGTACACAACTCAACACGCAGGGTGACAATAAACCAGAAGACTGTGCAACTGAAACTGTCACAGCTACATCTTGGAGAGAACCCAACTGCCCATCAACTGAGGAATGTACAAAAAAGACGTGGTGTCTTTACACAAGGGAGTATTACTCAGCTATAAAATAGGATAAACTTGAGGCTTTTATAAGTAAATGGATGCAACTAGAGACCATACTCGGAAGTGAAATAAATCAGACCCACAAACATCGTATTGTCTCCCTAGTGTAAGAACCTGAAAGAGTAAATTAAATCTGAAAGGTACAATAGATTCTATCAAAGGGAAAGAATCTGTTCAATGGAAAGGAAAAACTGAGATGAGGAAAATGATACAAGAAAGAAGGGAAAAAGATACATATTTATGTATATATGCAGGATAGCTTGGATTATTGTACTGCTGATTTCTGCTGGTCTATCGACAAAGTTGTTAATGCTTACATTTTTTATTTATTTTCCTATTTATTTATTTATTTATTTATTTATTGGTGGAACTGGGGATTGAACTCAGGCCCTTGCGCTTGCCAGGGAAGTGCTTATTCCACTGAGCCATCTCCCCAGTCCCTACATTTTTTATTTTTTAAAAATTTCTTATAACTTTTTTTTAAAACCAATTTTGTATGTGTTTATGTGTGGCAACGCAAACAACTAATTTTTTGGTGTGTGTGTGCAGGGTCTCACTATATAGCTTGGACGCTTGGACTCATCGTGATCCTCCTGCTTTCTGCCTCCCCAGTGCTGGGATTACAGGCATAAACAACTAATTTGAAGATAATATTATGTAATATAAAAACCATTGTAGGTTGCTAGTCCTACAGATAACCCACTACTGTTACGGACTACTGGACTATATTGGATTATTTTGCTGAATTCAAGCACCTACAATATTTAAATGGCAATGGGATACCCATCTCTGACAAAACTAAACCAAAAAAGGGGGATATAAATGAAGGACCATTATGTATCTGTATATACAAAATAGGATAGACATACAACTATTTTCTCTGAATTCAATGAGAAGAAAGATTTGTACTAATAGTGTTTGGTCAGGATATCATGTCTGCATCTTGTACTATGAATAACTACTAAGAAGACAACAAAATGCAATGTATTAATTATTGAAACTGTCCCACTAATTGGTTTTGAAACTATCTCATTGCTATTTGCTTCTCAATAAAATTAATTTAAAAATGTTAAAAAAAACCATTGTCGAATTTCTATTATTTTGTTTAGTGAAATTCTGTGTTGTTTCTAATATTCTTTCTTTTTTATCATTTAGTATTTTTTTCAGTCTTTTATTTATTTGGTACAGGTTTTCACTATGGAGCTTGGATGCCCCCCTAGTGCTGTCATGACAGGTGTATACCACCACGCCCATGCGGTTCAGCATGCAGCCAGCATGCCATGCGGTACCAGGAATTACACCCGGGTCCTTGTGCTTGCCAGGCAGGTGCCTAGACCTCTGAGCTATCTCTCTGGCCTTGTATTCTCTTAAACACACACACACACACACACACACACACACACACACACACACAAAAAAAAACCCCAAAAATGCAGAAAGAGAATTTATAATAAACTGTGAAATAAGAAATAATAGAGATAAAAATAGAATTTAATAACCTTACCAAATGTCAATCTCTAAATCAAATCAAGATTATCTGAAGCATCCCTGGAGATTAAGGCAGGCTGGCAAGTCTCAAAATAATAGAAAGGGTGGTGGAGGTAAATCAGTGCTATAGTGCTAGCCTAGCATGCCCAAGGCCCTCGTTTCAATCCTTAATATTGCCACAAAAAGAAAAAGCAAGTTTCTATAGGTGGTGAGGGGTGTGGCTCAGTGATGGGGCCTGGGTTCGGTGTACACTACACACAAAACAATCTGTGTAGGATTGGTGGGCTTGTCCCTTTCCATGAAGAGAGGCTGTCACAAATGCACAGCCTGCACCCTATGCAACATGAAGGGAAAAGGCTTTCTCACTAATGTGGTGAACCAGGTAACAACAGCCTATTGCTGTTGTAATTTTAAGAAAGTTCATATAGCTGTGACTTTCTATCTGGAAATTTCAGAAAAAATACCCCTAAAGATCTTAAGTGAGGGCTGGAGAGATGGCTCAGTGGTCTAAAGCACCTACTCAGAGCAAGCTTAGCAAAGCACAGGGATCGCGGTTCGATCCCCCAGCACCACATGCCAGCCAGCCCC